CTCTCTCTCTCTCTCTCTCTCTCTCTCTCTCTCTCTCTCTCTCTCTCCCCTTCCCTGGAAAATTTCGTAACCGATTCCCAAAAAAATCGGTAACAAAAAACTATACAGTTTATAGCACTTCCCGGAAAATTCTACCCGTTTTATATACAATTATTTAAAATTCGATCAATTATTTCCCGAAAAATTCGTCAAACTTCTAATACCAGTTTCTAAATAAATCGGTAACGAAAAATTATATACTTTATAGCACTTCCCAGGAAATTCTACACTTACTTCATGTATAATTCTTTGAAATTTAATCAATTATTTCCCGAAAAATTGAAAAAATTAAAAAAACCGGTTTTCAAATAATCGGTAACTGTACACATCGTGGCGTTCCCCAAAAAAAGAATTACTTAAAGAATTATATTAAAGCGTTTTACAAAATTGTCAGAAAGAGATCTTTAAGATGTTTTTAAGGTTCCTGTTGACTCACCACTATTGTCTCAGATTGTCAGACGCGAGAATATATGTATACAATAAAAGTTCTTGCTAAATATATTAAATTAAAAATATGTTTTAATAAAGCGCAACACTTACGATCGATATAACCGATTTGTAAAATATACCAAAAATTATCTTTCTGTTTTGAGGAGTAATTAAATCATATTTATTTCTATATATTTTTAATTTGACAGTTATCATTATCTGTGAGCATAGCTTATTTCTTTTTTATGCATAATTAATTTCCAGATATATTTATTAATTAACAGAACTATTGATTGTTGTTTTATTAAAATAACAATTCCCATTTTAATATATTTAGCAAGAATTTTTATTGTATATTTTTTTGCTTCTGACGTCATAATCTGAAATAGTAGTGATGAGTGAACAATAGCCTTAAGATGTCCTACATCCCGATTTATGATGTCTTTATAGGAAATTGTTTTAAGACTTAAGATTTTTTTAAGATATCTTATTTGGGACTACTTTTAGATATTTTAAAATAATAAATAATAATATAAAGATGTGTTAACAAGAAGAAAAATATGAAAAAGGAATTATAATATTCTGATACTACGTACGCGTTGATTATTACCGATCCAAAAGGTAAATTAACAAATTAGACTAGTACTATATGATCCAGTGAATTAACGCATTTTATTGTACATAATATGATGAACGTTTGAGAAATTTAAATGTAAATATTCTAAATAATATTAAACATCACAAATCGTATATTAAAATGTTCTTCGTTATTTTCCGCTTGCGTTATGCTTCCAGTTTCATATCGTTTCTCATCCTAAAATTTGTTCGAACGAGTCGGAAGTTTGCGCAACCGGTAGTTCAAGTTGCGACGATTACGCAGTTTCCGGCGCGCGTTTTAGAACGTATACGTTAGCACGTTACGTTTCGTTCCGCGAGCGCGAGTAAAAAAATTGGAAAAAAGTATGAAGGAAGTGAATCTCCGGGTGAATCTCCTATGCATTCAATCGCGTCGGATCTCACCGCTTCAACCTGCATCAATCGATTTGTGTGCGCAGCGAATATTGGGCACGTCGAGATTACAAGGATCCCGATTCTTAAAAATCGTGAAATTTTACAAGATGGTCTTCTATTAAAACAGTTCGCCGCAGTTCGAAATTTCTTACTTTTTCAGAGTAAGTTTACACGCTCTGCGTCTGTTTTCGAAAATCGTCGGGAAATGTTTAACAGCGGTTTCGATGACGCAAGATAGGTGTAAATTATAAAATTATAAATTAATTCGTCTCGCATTGAATTGTATCGTTGAATTTTGTCTTGCTTTTGAGAAGCTCTTTACTATGCTAGAAATATTGACAAGTAACTTTCGCTTCAGAGAATTCTTGTGTTCAGAATTGAACAGTTGTATTAAATATGTATAATGGTATCTTTAACTCATTAAATATAAACGATGTTTAAAACAAAAAAATCATGTCTCTCTTTAGAAAACAAAAACTGACATTACTTTTCATCACCCTTCGCAGATATTAACTCATTGATACTCGGTAATAAAGTATATAATTATAATATTATACTGCATCGATTGTTTACATTTTTATTTTCTAAAGTATAGTCTTTTTTATATTTATTTCATATACATCTTGTTTTTATAATACTTTTCTAGAGCATATCAATAATTGTCCGGGCTTCATCAAGATTTAGAAGTTGCGAGAGCCCATTAAAAAATTGTTTAGAGATTTCGAAAACATTATGGCGTATAAATATGTGTATAAGTGATATGAGATTTAACAATCAATTATATATTAGCACTAATTGTAATTATTTTACTAGAAAATTTTGTTGAAGCTATACTCAGCCGCTTTTTAATAATACTTTTACTAATAAATTTTCAGTGTTTTACAGATTATGTTATCTCTACTGAAATCTCGTTTAATGTATAATTTCTTGACGTCATTTACTGATAATATTTACTGATTTATCTCCTTCTTTCCCGTTTTAATAGAACTCTTATTAATGATAACTTCTAAGATTTCCATCAAAGATAAATTACATGGATTATACGTTTTACTACAAAAAACTTTTTTTATATACTTTGTTTATTGCTATAACTTATCATGAGGGGGATTCTTATTGTAGTAATCTTTTCTTCTTTACGTGCTATTTTCACTTATAGTTCTTTTTAAAAAAGCACTTATTTTACAAAATTTATATAAAATAAAGGAAAAGAGAACGGAATGCATAAGCATTAGGAACAAGAAATAAAGATGATTGATCAGCGATCAAGCTATTAGTTTTATCTTAGAACATTGAATAATTTATATTAACCCTTAAATAGATATTATTTCTCTAGAGTTGGGGATAAAAAAGATTTTTTTATTTTTGTGGATTTGTCCATAACAAATAACAACATCTTTTGGACATTTGTAAGAGATTTAATACAAAAATGTTGTTTATAAAAGACAAAATAGATTTGATGTTTCGATCTCCAAAGTTATACAAATACGAAGTTTTCTTTCCTCAATAATTAAACGCTCACTTCCGTTACTCATTCCAATATCGCGATGCGGATATTTTTTATTTCGCGTTGCTACGCGATAAACTGAGCCGGTAGAAACGGGAAGGTATTGTAGACGTATACAGGTCGATTAAACGCGAAAGAATTCGCGATCGCCAGTGCCGGATTCGTCTCGAAATCGTCCTCGGGCTGTTCGTTCGGCGCCGTCGTGGGTTCCCTGCTGCGAGGTGTTGTCGTGGTTCTTACGGTGCTGGTAGTTTGTGGCCGCGTTGTCGTAGTCGTGGTGAATAACGGGTCGCGATAGGTAGTTGCGGTATCCGGGGGTTCGTAGCTTTGTAATCCACGAGCACCGTAATACGCGGGCAATCGATTGTTGTTGGGATTAAAACGCCGGCCATTAGGACGCCAGCCCCTGGGCTTGTACCCCGATAAATCTGACGTCACCGCCAGTCCGATATAAAGGAGGACGAGGATGAGCTGCAAAAAAAAATACAGAATCGATTTAAATAAAAGCGGTAGACGCGACACGCGGTCGAATGGTCCGAGTAACGCGATCCGATGCTTGGTGGTTATTTCGAGGATATCGAAAGATATACTTTTTGCTCCTGTCGCTCTTTATTTAGCTAGAATATTTACACTCCGCGCTTTTTAAAATAAACGAAAATAAAACATTGAAATAATTATAATGTTTTTAATTATATAAAATTTTAAAACATTTTAGCTTTAACGGAATTGATATAAATTTAGGCGCTCTTAAGAATGTAGAACATTTTATCGTGAATTTTTGCTCATTGAGATACTCAGATCAATAATAAAATCCCGTCGTTGCAGTTTCTGAACGTTTTATTCACGACATAAAGCAATTATCTATCTCGGATGCCGTTTCGCCGACAGAAGATCAGAACTTTTGGCAAAAGCACTTGCGCACTATCCATTGTATTGCATTATCATAATTATCTGGCGATCATATTGTTCACGAGGTTCCTCGGCATGCCAGATCCGCTGTTAACGAGACCGATAATTTCCTCAAATAAAATGCATGTGAATATTTTGCCGTTTAAAACGCGGTAAATGGAACGCTGTTTTACCGTCTCCCTCATTTTTGCCGACGTTAATACCGCTGCTAAACGCGCACCGGAAAACTTCGGACTAGCCTTTGCCGAGTCGCCGATTCCGTCTTTATATGCGAAAACACCGATGTATCGCGAGATCGCGGGCGCCTAAGCTCCGTGAATACGAAACGAGGTGAAGACGAAAACGATTTCGTTTTTTCGTTTCGCCGCCGTTTCGTAATACGATGTTACCCGTATTACGTGTTAAGAATGTATGTA